CCTCGCATACCCTCTCAGCCTTCTGGCTCGCTACGTGGCTTCCGGTAGGCACCGAAAGGTGCAGTGGGATGCTGCGAAGAGGGTGTTGCGCTACTTGTGCAGTACATCGGGCAAGGGGCTCGTGCTTGGAGGACGGGCTCGAGTTGTCCTCACTGGTCACGCTGACGCCTCCTGGGTTGACGACTTGGCTACGCAGCGGTCGTCACAGGGTTACACCTTCAGTCTTGGCTCCGGTTCTGTCTCTTGGCGGTCTACCCGCTCTTCTTCTGTTCTCAGCTCCAGTTGTGAGGCTGAGATCTACGCTGGGGCCATGGCTGCACAGGAGCTACGCTGGCTCACCTACCTGCTGACCGACTTGGGAGAGGCGCCTCGTTCTCCTCCAGTTCTTTACGTCAACAACAAGGCCATGTTGGCCTTGTGTCAGGAGCACAGACTGGAGCACAGAACGAAGCACATTGCTCTGCGCTACTTCCTTGCTCGAGAGTTGCAGCAGCGTGGCCAGCTTCGTCTTGCTTACGTGGCCTCACAGGCCAACACTGTTGATGTTTTCACCAAGGCACTTCAGCCTTGTGATCATCAGCGTTTCTGTACTGTTCTAGGCCTTGTACCTACTGTGCCTCACTTGCTTACTTCTTGACTCTGCTTGTACTGTACTCTATATACATATACCTGCATGCTGACACTTGCTAGGTTGTGTTCACTGTATTGTTTGCTTTCCTTTATATAACTCTGCATGTGAACTGGCCTTGTGGCCCTTTGCTTGTGCTCACACTGCGTGGTGACTTTGTGATCCACCCTGAGCTTGCTTTGCCTTTATTGACTGGTCTTGTGACCTCTTGTTCTCCCCCACTTTGCCTATGGGGGTGTGTCAAACTTATATGCTATAATCTGTTTAGGCTGTAGTGGGGTAGTTCTTACAGGGTACAACACTTTTAGGTTTCCTACTTGTACCCACCTGCTTCCTAGTTCATTCATTCCTCTCATTATTCTCACAGGCTGTACTGTTGGTTGTGCCTCGGGTTCTAATCCTATTCGGTGATCGTGTGCCCGCTAAGGTGGCACTCCCTCTGGTAAGTCGTCGGGAAAAATCCCCGGGTACCGTTTCAACAGTTCCTGTAGTTTGGCTGGTACTGCTGCCAGCAGTTTTTGAAAATCGCTCGGCTGCTCTGCTTCTTCCACCACTGCGATATCCACCGCGTACACGTCAGCTCCAGCGGCGACAGCCCGTTTCATTGTGATGGCATTGACGTGGACCGTTGAAGACTTAGGCGACTACCAGCGAGGTAGTTCAACCCAGTTACCGCTACTTCGCACAGTGCAGCTACCCGTCGTCCAGTCGATTCGCGGGTTGTACCGTCGCAGCCAATCACGTCCCAGTAAAATGTCGTGCCCATCCAATGTCGTCGCTAGCATTTCCTGTATAAACCCGAAGTTCCCCTCGCAGCGGACTTTTTCTCTCTCCACCTTATCCCGTATTGCCAGTGGAGTTCCGTCAACTAAGCGTGCGTCGATCTCCGGTAAGCACCGACCAAGTGCCAGTTGCAGCTTCCGTGCAGTCGCGGTATTAACTAAGATGTGGCTGGTGCCTCCGTCTATAAAAATCTTCACTGTTGCTCCCTGTATTTTCCCATGGATCATTACTGGGTAATCCGTCGTTGTACCCTCCTTATTCATCCGAGCCCGATCGATATCGTGAATCTGTACTGTGACTCGGTGAGGGTCGGTGAGGTTGGGCGAGCAGGTAGTCTCGTCAGTAGTTGGCCCAACTTCTACTGACTGCTGGCGTTTCCCTGCCTCTGAGACTCCCGACCCTGCTCTGTTCCGCGGCGTCTCAGCTCCTCTGGGCATTCGCTCTTGCGATGGCCCGACCGATTGCAAGCAAAGCAATGCCCCTTAAACGGTGCGGCAGCTGCATTCGTCGCAACGGTGGCGTGCTCGATCTGTCACCGAGGACGATGTCCGTAGTAGGACCCCGGTCTCGGACGGCGCAAAATGTCGATTTTTCTCGGCGAGTGCGAGGATCTCGTTAAAATTTGAGAGCACGCGTAGCATGATTTTGTGCGAGATGTCCGGTTTCAGCCCTCCGAAGTAACGGTCCACCCGCTCCGCTTCATGCATGTAGCCGACTTGCTCGCATAATGAGAGAAAACCGCTCGTGTAGTCTTGAACTGACCCGAGCTGCCGCCAAGTACGCAGTCTCTGATGCGCCGAAATAGAAGCCGCGATCGGCTCGAAGCGCGCCCGAAGCCCTGCGCACCACGCATCCCACGTGCCGTACTGGGCTGTCTCGCAAAATGAACTCCAGGTGACGGCTGGGCCTATGGGCCCTTCCTCTTGCGGCGGTGGCTCGTAGGCGCGTGGCGACGTCACGATGACTCGCCACCAGTCCATGGCGGGGCCCCTTAGCAGCGAAATGGCGTAGCGAATCTTCGTTGCGTCTGACTCGACGTAATTCACGTCGAAGAACACGTTCATCGTGAAGACCCACGATCGAACCGTCGGACCTCGACGTTGGTTTGGATCGAAACAGGGCGGGCGTTGCGGCTTGAGTGGCATTGGTGCCATGATGTCGTGGTTGCCGCTTGTTGCTGCAAACTCCACGTGCCGACGAGCTTCACGAGGCTCACGTGGGCTTGGTGCGGCCCTATTTCTCTCCATGCCAAGCATTGAGTGAGTGGCGCCATCGCTGGCTACGCCTGAGCGTTGTCCCACACTGTTGTTCTGTGTTGGGGTGCCTGATGAGACGATGATCGGCTCCTCTGATTGTGCAGGTGCATTGGTTGGTGCTGGTGCATTCACTGTCGATTGCTGACGAGCGGAGTCGCGTTCCGCCGTGGGTGTAGCAATTTCGAGGGCCGAATCTTCGAGTTGACGCACGAGACGGTCGAGCTGCACTTGCGTCAGTGTCGCGAGAATAATTTCAACCATGGCGGGGGTGTCGGGCAAGCTCAGCGAGAGCCTCTGTCGTGGCCGTGCGTGCTTACGAGAGAGCACTTCGAGCGGCGGTGCTTGGTCGCTGAGAGACGTCTACCCCCCCCTCAAAATTAGAGATAGTGGGGAAGCGAAGGTGTGGGTGCGGTCCGAGAGAAGATCGTAGGCTCTGATACCAAGTGTTACGAGTGCAATTGAGTGAGCGAGCGAGGATTGCACTATCGAGACAAAAATACAATGAGCGAAGGATTGAGCGAAGAATATATAGCGAAGCTACAGTGGTAACTGTAACGTGTGGAAAATGTGGTGCGCGACGGGCCTAGTGCCGAGGTTGGGAATTGTCGAGGCGGAGGTCCGGAGCGAGGGTTACCAACCGAACCGTGAGGTTGGGTCGCGTTGTGAACAGTGGAGGGAACAGTGTCGAGACGAATGTCGCAAGTGGTAACGGATTATTGTGGGGTGCTGTTGGCGGGAAATAGTGGTGTACGTGCTGAGTAGGGAAAAGGATTTTTCCTTAGAGATACATACAAAACTATTTGATTCGTTTTGGGGGGAGCAGAACCGCTGAGGAGACAGGTGGGCTGGATTTTTGTTGACGGACAATTACCACGTCGTTGTTCCAGGTGCATTCCAAATTACAACTATTCCGCATGTCACGGATATGACCGATTTGCGAGCGTAATGGTTTTCCGTTGCGAACTTGGTTAACCCTGAATCTTTAGAGTATGGGAGTACAGGTTTTCCCCGACATACATGAAAATGACTCCGGCAAATAGGCCACGATATTGAGACTTGAGGTGCAAACCAACCAAGCAGAATTGCAAAACACACTTCTTTCCCAGTTCTGATGTGACGGGGGTGAATCATTCCTCGAGGGCTTTCCCAAGGGCATCGATTTCATTGGCAGTGGGATGATGAAGGTGTACCCGGAAAAACAGCAGGTGGTATTCCAGCTACTGCTGGTTACTATCTGCGCATCGTGAGTATCGCCTGCCCGCCATCGCCGCTGCAGCGAGGAGCGACGAATCTTGAGGGAAAGGCACCAAACGGGTTGTAACCTCCTCAAGGTGGAGAAGCGCAGGAGCCTCAGGTTGTTTGTATCAGTGTTTGCTGCACATGTACCCGAAGCGTTGATGTGCCCCTCACAACAATTTTCCAGCCTCCCAGCAGTCACCTGCTCAAATCACTCAGCTCTGATCATCAGCATATCACCAAGCTTTCTTTCGATTTGCAAGCCAAGCTACTGTGACAGTGTTTCACCATCATCCAAGCAAGTCTTACCTTGAACCGACACTAGAGTTAACATTTTCACCATGGCCCGCTATACCGTCGTTAGTCTGCTCGTTCTTCTCGCTGCAGCGACTTTTGTAGAGGCAGGCAACGAAAACGCCGGCAATGGAAAGGGTAACTCGGGTAACGCGCCGGGGAAGGCAAAGAAAAGAGGCCACCTCTGCGTTGACGGCTGCGACTACGAGAAGGGCTCCTATGACTATTGGAAGGTGCGTCAAGCTGCAGCACCATATCATCTGCCCAGTAGTCGATGAAACGCTGAATTCCTTTCCATGTTAATCTGATTATACAAATCTCCTATTCTTACTCGCGATATCCTCTCTTTCCCTTCGTTCCTTCCGGCAGGTCCCCGAGTACAAAGAATGCATGTCGAAAGCGACTAGGGACACCGCCCCCTGGTGCGCGGCCGGCGCAGTGAACGCGAAGGACTGCTGCGATCGTTGCAAGAACCCCGGCACTACCCTGGACGGCAAGGCCTATGTCTGCAAATACTGGGTGCACATCCCGTAAGTACCAAGAACTACGTTTTTAATCGACTAGGAAGTCACGATCGCTGAAAGCCCCCTCCACCACCACCACTGTCATAATGTTTGCTGATCGGTCCCTGCCCGCCCTTCGTCGTCGCAATTCTTCTTACGCCAGCCGTCCGTGTAACATGTCCATGTGATCGTTGATCCTGTCGTTCTGTTCGTCGAAATCGCAGATCGTCGCCTAGCGAGCGCAAGTGCAATGGCAAGGACTGCGGCAAGTGCCTTCTCCTGCCAGATCTCACTTCCCTCATGCCCACTAAGAGCACCAAGAACGGTTGCGGTGGAAAGAAGGTGCGTATCGGTAAGAACTGCGCCGCCGCCGAGAATGACCCGCACTTCACGGGCGCGCACGGCACGCGGTTCGACTTCAACGGGCTGCCCGAGAAGAACTTCTGCCTGTACACGGATCGCGCGGTGCACGTGAACATGGGCATGCGCGGGTACCTCGACTCGCGCTCCACGCAGAACGCCGCCCTCGTCGTCAACGGCTCCGCCGTGCGCACCTGGATCCGCCAGCTAGCCCTCATGTGGACTGACGCCGCCGACAGCGACAACACCGTGTCCGCTAAGCCCGCCACCCACTCGCTGGTGCTGACGGCGCGCGACGGCAAGGAGCAGCTCCGCGGCGACTCCGGCTTCCTGGCTTCCGCGGAGCTCGACGGCACGCACCTCCCCCGCCTCGCGCCCGGTGAATCGCGCAGCCTCGCGGGCGGCAAGGTGTCGCTGGAGTTTGTTGGTGAGGAGAAGACTGGGCCGTACGACGTGGACCACTACTACCTGCGCATCGACGGGCTCCTGGAGTTGGACCTGAAGCTGCGCCCCGCACACCCTCTGCTGCAGACACCTGACGACGCTCAGGTGCACATCAACGTGATGTTCACTGACGCGAGCGCGAGCAGCAGCGTGCATGGCGTGATGGGGCAGACGTACCGCGGCGGCAGGGAGGCGCGCACGGTGGAGTTCTCTCGGCTCGCTGCCATGCTGCACCACCCCGTGTCTGCCGATGGCGCGGAGGGCAAGGGCTTCCTGGACGGGCAGGTGAAGGACTATGAGACCAGCGCCGTCACCGCCACTGACTGCCGCTTCTCTGCCTTCAACGGCCAGGAGCTGTCCCTTTCTGCTTAAAAGCTAAGAGACAATGTTTGGACGCGTCGTGGAACCACAATGTTGTATTCTAGGCGAGTTTGTAAGTGTGCTGATGGATGTAAAATTACTCAAGAGGGACTAAATTGTGACAGCGGGTTGAGTCATTCCTACGGGTGAATGTGAATCAGGTGACCTTAAAGCCCGCGTCCCAAATTGCGGGCCGCGAGGGTCAAGTTTTTAAAACTTGACGAAGTTTGAGTGTCCAAGCTTTTGAAAGTCACGCACTTGCAATTTGGGACTTTCGAAGACAGATTCACTCACCAGGGGGAAAACCGAGGGTTGGCTGGGTCTCGCGAAAAAAGCGAACCTAGACAAAATCGGAAACTCTCGCCAAAGCCCACACCAGAAAAACTCCCTCTGGTCAACTTTTAAAAGCATGAACAATTTGGGCCGCCGGCTTTAAAGCAGCGGTATACATTTGGTACTACTGTTTGTTGTGTACGGTGATGGGACACCATTTCGCCCAGACGAAAAAAAACGGGTGGAGCGAGAGTGTTGGCGAAAACCAGAGGCACTTGTGTTGTGAAGGAACCAGAGTGGTGTTGGTTGTGAGTCACAGAATGGATGAAATGCCCCCGTCACCGAACTCACCACCCACGCTCACACGCTGAGAATAAGCGGCTAATAATTACACCAGACAGAAACAACCACGGCGCTTCGATGGAGGGTGCTACGCCAGCAGCGCGACCACACACGAAGTGGCGCGTGAGTTAGGCACGAAGTTAATTAGCCTTGGTAGCGAAACGACCAGCAAAAGCGCGCGCAAGCAGCAGCCTGTGCAGCAACTGTTTCGCGCTCACCTCTAGCCTCGCACGCGCCCCAACATTCCGCCCGATCCTGCACAGTGCGCTCCAGCTTTGCGCGCTCAGCATAGCAGCGCACGCAAGCAAAACGCGCGCAGCAAGGGCGCTCTTCATATTCATAGCGCGCGCGGGTGCCAGTGACGAATCGCGTTCTCCAAGGGGACACCCCGGCTTCGCGCGTATAAGAAGAGGCGCTTGCTACGTCACGTGCCCTCTGACGCATTCGCGCCATCGCATACCGGGTGCATTCCCCATTCCGCATTCCCCATTCCGCATTTTCCATTCCGCATTTTCCATTCCGCATTCCCCATTCCGCATTCCCAATTCCGCATTCCCCCTTCCGCATTCCCCCTTCCGCATCCCCTCTTCCGCGCCGCCCCTTCCGCGTTCCCCCTTCCGCATTCCCCCTTCCGCGTTCCCGCTTCCACATTCCCCCTTTCGCGTTCCCCCTTCCGCCAGCCCCCTTCCGCATTCCGCCTTCCGCCTTCCCCCTTCCGCGCTCCCCCTTTCGCGGTAACCCTTTCGCATTCTCCCTTCCGCATTCCCCCTGCCGCATTCCCCCTTCCGCGTTCCCCCTTTCGCGTTCCCCCTTCCGCCAGCCCCCTTCCGCATTCCGCCTTCCGCGTTCCCCCTTTCGCGGTAACCCTTTCGCATTCCCCCTTCCGCATTCCCCCTGCCGCGTTCCCCCTTCCGCGTTCCCCCTTCCGCATTCCCCTTTCCGCATTCCCCCTTCCGCATTCCCCCTTCCGCCTTCCCCCTTCCGCCATCCCTCTTCCCCCTTCCCCCTTCCGCATTCCCCCTTCCGCCTTCCCCCTTCCGCATTCCCCCTTCCGCATTCCCCTTTCCCACTGCAGGCCACACGTTGTACCCTTGCAGGCCCCATGTTTCCCCCTGATGGCCCCATGTTTCCCCCAGCAGGCCCCCTATTCCCCCCATGCCAGACCCATTTCTCCCCCCTGATAGCCCCATATTCCCCCCGTGATAGCCCCATGTTTGCCCCATGCTAGCCTCATGTTTCCAAGGCTGGATTATGAGTGATCGCTGCACACAGCGACATGTGGAGTGCTCACCAGCAAAGGAACCACTCAGCCCGCATACTCTTACTCTCCTTCGCTTGTCACATCCTCTTTTCCCACCCTACCCTTCCCTTCCCTTCCAAGGTGCCAAGGTGAGTGCATCGCTGCTCACAGCAGTGTGTGGAGTGCACGCCAGCAAAGGAACCTCCCTTCCAGAACACTCTTCCTCACATTCGCATGTCACATCCTCTTTTACCTCCCTCTCCTTCCCTTCCAAGGTTGGGTGGTGAGCGCAGGAGCTGCTGGAGGTGCTGCTGGTGCTGGAGCTGCTGGAGGTGCTGGAGGTGCTACTGGGACTACTGGAGGTGCTGGCGCTGCTGGAGGTGGTGCTGGTGCTGGAGGTGCTGGATGTGCTACTGGGGCTACTGGAGGTGCTGGCGCTGCTGGAGGTGGTGCTGGTGCTGGAGCTGCTGGAGGTGCTGCTGGTGCTGGAGCTGCTGGAGGTGCTGTTGGGACTGGAGACCCTGGGGCTGAGGGTTCCGGTTCTGTCTCTGGAGGCGCTGCGCGGCCGCGGCCGTACTACGTTCCGCTCCTTCAGCAGGTTCTTGGCTCCTCGCCTTCTCCTGGTCCTTCTCCTCCTTTCCTGAGTCCACCGCCTGTCCAGTCCCAGTCGCAGTTGCAGCCGGCCTCTCCGCTGCCTGGTCCTTCTCCTTACTCTGGACCGACTAGAGGTCTTACGGAGCGTCGTGAGCCTGAGTCGCGTCCTGTGTCACCTGTGTCTCGCTCTGCGTCGCCTGTCCGTACTGTTCGCGCTGGTCGTGTTTCGCGTCCGCGTCCTCCTCTTGTCCCAGGCACTCACTCTATGACTCTGCGTCCTTCTAATGCTCCACAGCGTGTCCCTCTGCCGTCTCCTCCTGCGTCCTCTCTTACTGACGGTCCGGACCCGGAGTCTGACTCCCTTCGTGCTGCTAGTCCTACTGTCACGCGCTTTCTGGCCACTGCTGTCACTGACCCTCTGTTTGAGTCCACTGCTGCGTCTGCCCTTGTTACTGAGCTCGTTGACTTTGCTGCAGCCTGACGCCTAGACTACGCCTCTAGTCTTGTTGCTGAGTCTGCGTCTGTCTGTCCTCCGTCCGTCGGGGGTGAGTGTGCTCTTGTCACGGATGTCCTTGAGGACAGACATGAGGACCTTGAGTGCTTTGCCGCTGCTTTTCCTTATCTCGTGTCCATGCTGCTTGCCCCTGAGGGAGACCCGGATGCACTAGACATCCCGACCCCGCGCTCTTACGCAGAGGCGATAGAGGGTCCGTACTCCTCTCAGTGGCAGGCAGCCATGGACGTAGAGATGGCTTCCTGAAAGTCCACAGGCACCTACGTAGACGAGGTTCCCCCACCTGGGGCGAACATCGTCAGTGGCATGTGGATCTTCAGGGTGAAGCGGCCGCCGGGTTCTCCGCCTGCCTTCAAGGCGCGTTACGTTGCACGTGGCTTCAGTCAGCGTCAGGGAGTTGACTTCTTTCAGACCTTCTCCCCTACCCCGAAGATGACCACTCTTCGGGTACTGCTGCACGTTGCTGCTCAGCGTGACTACGAGCTCCACTCGCTTGACTTCAGCACAGCTTTCCTACAGGGCAGCCTCCACGAGGAGATCTGGCTGCGCCGCCCACCTGGCTTCACTGGGTCGTTTCCTGCTGGTACCTAGTGGAGCCTCCGGCGGCCAGTCTACGGTCTCCGCCAGGCACCCCGTGAGTGGCACGACACACTCAGGACAACTCTTGCTGCTCTTGGTTTAGCTCCTTCCACTGCTGACCCTTCTCTGTTCTTACGCACTGACACTACTCTGCCGCCGTTCTACGTTCTCGTGTACGTAGACGACTTGGTCTTTGCTACTGCTGACACTGAGGCACTTGCCCACGTGAAGTCCGAGCTGCAGAAGAGACACACGTGCACAGACCTGGGTGAGCTCACAAGCTATCTTGGCTTGCGGATCACCCGGGACAGAGCACAGCGCAGCATTACCTTGACTCAGTCACACATGGTGCAGCAGGTCCTTCAGCGCTTCGGCTTCACGTACTCCTCGCCACAGTCCACTCCTCTGCCTACCGGTCACTCGCTCTCAGCTCCACCTTCGGACGAGTCCTTAGAGCCGAGTGGCCCGTATCCAGAGCTTGTGGGCTGCCTCATGTACCTGATGACTTGCACACGACCTGACCTAGCATACCCTCTCAGCCTTCTGGCTCGCTACGTGGCTCCCGGCAGGCACCGAAAGGTGCACTGGGATGCTGCGAAGAGGGTGTTGCGATACTTGTGCAGTACATCGGGCATGGGGCTCGTGCTTGGAGGACGGGCTCGAGTTGTCCTCACTGGTCACGCTGACGCCTCCTGGGTTGACAACTTGGCTACGCAGCGGTCGTCACAGGGTTACACCTTCAACCTTGGCTCCGGTTCTGTCTCTTGGCGGTCTACCCGCTCTTCTTCTGTTCTCAGCTCCAGTTGTGAGGCTGAGATCTACGCTGGGGCCATGGCTGCACAGGAGCTTCGCTGGCTCACCTACCTGCTGACCGACTTGGGAGAGGCGCCTCGTTCTCCTCCAGTTCTGTACGTCGACAACAAGGCCATGCTGGCCTTGTGTCAGGAGCACAGACTGGAGCACAGAACGAAGCACATTGCTCTGCGCTACTTCCTTGCTCGAGAGTTGCAGCAGCGTGGCCAGCTTCGTCTTGCTTACGTGGCCTCTCAGGCCAACACTGCTGATGTTTTCACCAAGGCACTTCAGCCTTGTGATCATCAGCGCTTCTGTACTGTGTTAGGCCTTGTACCTACTGTGCCTCACTTGCTTTCTTCTTGACCCTGCCTGTACTGTACTCTTTATACATATACCTGCATGCTTATACTTGCTAGGTTGTGTTCACTGTATTGTTTGCTTTCCTTAATATAACTCTGCATGTGAACTGGCCTTGTGGCCCTTTGCTTGTGCTCAGACTGCGTGGTGACTTTGTGATCCACCCTGAGCTTGCTTTGCTTTTCTTGACTGGTCTTGTGACCCCTTGTTCTCCCCCACTTTGCCTATGGGGGTGTGTCAAACTTATATATGCTATAGTCTGTTTAGGCTGTAGTGGGGTACAACAGTTTTGTGTTCTCTATTTGTACCCACCTCATTTCTAGTTCAATCATTCATTCCTCAATTTTCACAGAATGTATATATAGCAAAACAAGCAGTGCAAGAAACAAGAGGCAAGTCTACAACAAAGAAGGGCTTGCCTGAACAAGGCCAAGCTGCGAGCGAAACATGTGGTGGTCACCAAGCGGGAGGGCCTTGGTGAAAATGTCTGCTGTGCTGGCCGTTGAGGCCACAAAGACCAAGCGTGCCTGGCCATGCCGCTGTAGTTTTCAAACTAGATTTGTATATCAATGTGCTTCAATCAGCCCTCCAATTGAGGTTCTCGACACAGGAGGATCATGGCATTGTTGTCAGCGAACAAGGTCGGTGTAAATCTAGGCCGCTCGCCTAGTTCAGTGAGCAAGAAGGCCAACCAGCGGAGCTCCTGAGCAGCCATGGAACCGGCATAGATGAGCACTGGACTGCGCCATAGACGACGGTCGAGTATGCGGAGATAACTCTATCAACGGGAGCTAGACCACGGGCTAGGCACGGGGCAAGAGGGATCTCTGCGTTCGTTCACTTAGTCGTTCTCTAGCACTTGTGCGTTCACAGGGCAAAACCGCAAGTGTTTCACTAGCGAAAGTTGAGAACAATAGTAGCAACTAGATTGGCAAGATAGACTACATCAGAAGCCTAGCATACAAGTCGACCACCAGCTCAGCACGAAGGCGACTTGCTAGCTGGTCGACCTCAGGCGTCCTCAGGTGTCCTCAGTCGACCTGCAAGGCTGGCGTGCAAGCACACCAACAACAGGCCACCACACGTGCTCATGTGCGCGCACCTACTTCGCAGGTGCAAGGTGACGGTAACGACATGCACCGCCACGCACATTGCGCAGGTGTCAAGTCGAACATGTCGATGGTTGCTCCTGAGGAGTCCTGTTGACCACGTGCCACCGAACCGCAGGTCGACATTGCCAATCTACCTGGGCGACAGTCGCGAACCTCGCAGACCTCGTCGTCCGGGTAACCTGGTCAACCAGGCAACCATGTCGACCAGGTGTGTCATCCCAGGCCCGTCGACCGCCCAGGTCGACGACCACCACATGTCGACCACACCAGGTCGACCACTCCCTTGGTCGACCAACTCCAAGTCGACAACCCACCTGGTCGACCAACTCCAGGTCGACCAGTACACCCGTCAGCCGACCACACCCAGTCGGCTTCCCCTGGTCGGCGTCACCCAAGTCGACGCCCTCCACTAGTCGTCCTCCCAAGTCGACTAGCCTAAGTTGGCGCCCTCCCAAAGTCGGTGCCCTTGCAGTGGCCCTTGTGCAGGTCGACATGTCCCGTCGACCAGCTCGCCCATTGTTGCAAGTCGGCTGCACTCCTCACACCCGACCCCGAGGTCGGCTCCGCCCAAGCGAGGACGGGGCCAACAACAACTCCTGTTGACAGAGTAGACCTCCACGACACATCTCTGTCAAACATATATGCTTAGTTATATCTAGGCTTAGTTTATGTGTTTATAGTTGTCTAGGCTATAGTGGGTTTAGCCTTAGGGGGTACAAATTTCTCTCGACATTCTACTTGTACCCCTTCTCTTTTCTTAGTCCATCATTTCTCGCCTACTATTCTCACATGGTATTAAGAGCAATTAGTCCTAGGACCTAATGTTAATGGGCCCACCACCTACTGCCCTGCTAGCCTAGGCCCCGGCCCGTCGCCCCTTGGCGTCGCCCCTAGCCCCTAGGCTCGGCCCCTTGGCCCCGTCGCCTCGGCCCCGCTGGCCCCGTCGACTTCGTCTCCCGCGCCCGGCCCGTACCTAGCCCGTCGCCCGGC